TTTTTTGAGAAACAGAGTGTGAGCAGGGAAGGGTCAGAGACAGAGTGAGACACAGATTCCAAAGCAGGCTCCAGGCTCTGAGCTGTCGGCACAGAGTCTGATGCAAGGCTCAACTCACGAACCGTGAAATCATGACCTGAGCTGAAGTCTGTTGCTTAACTGATTGAGCCACCTAGGCGCCCCTGGCTTGGGTCTTTGTGACACAGCCCAGTACTCTTTTTAGTCTGCCATGCCACCTTGTGTCATTAGGTAACTTCATCTTTCGCATGTCTTAGCTCCTTAATTAAAAATAAGTTCCTGTAGGGCAATAACCACGTACTATAATAAGTCTGTAGTTTACAAGAGATTTTTGTACCAGAAGTTGATTTACGAGTTATTTGGAATTTGCTGTGTTTTTATTTTCTTCAGATGTTTTTATAGCTTCAGGTTAAGCTGGGGTAAGCCATAATTTGTGCAGGAAGGAGAAAAAGGAGCAAAATAGACACCAGCCATCTGGAGTTGCTAGTAATTTGGATTCACCTCCTACCCCTTGAAGAGCTTCCTATATAATATAGCCCAGCCATATCAACCCTAGCATAGTACTGTGAATATACTAGGTGTTCCAGGACTGGTAAAGTTAACAAAATCCACTACTAACTTGAACCCATAATATGGAAGTCCTTTTTAGTTATTCTCAAAATGGGTGGCACAGTACAGTCATTAGCAGTAATTTTGTTATTGAAGTGCACAGAAGGCAATTTGATAACCAGAAAGATTTCTCGAAAGTAACCAAGCTCAGGGGTGCCTGGGTGGCTCAGTCAGTTGAGAATCTGACTTGGGCTCAGGTCATGATCTCACAGTTCGTGAGTTTAAGCCTCACATCAAGCTCTCTCTGCTGTTAGTGCAGAGCCCACTTCAGATCCTCTGTCCCCCTCTCTCTGCCCCTTCCCTACTTGCACTCTCTCTCTCAAAAATAAATTTAAAAAATAAAAATTAAAAAAACAAAAGTAATTAAGCTCATAGATACAGATGATAGATTGGTGGTTGCCAGAGGCAGTGGTGGGAGAAATGGGTGAACTGGTTTTTTGTTTGGGTTTTTTTCCTTTTTTAGTCTAAGTAAATTGAATAATTTTTTAAAACTAACAGTAGATTTTGTATTTATTTGACAAATCTTAAGACACTCAAATGCCCTTATCAGGAAGTGGTCATATTCCTTATACAGGAGGGTATATAGGAGTTATAGTTATTTTTCTCTTGATATAATTAATAGGTGATTAACAGGATTCAGAAACATAATGTGACTTAAATTTAAGGATTTCTGCCGCTTTTAATTTTACTTTGAAAATTATCAGAGTTATTATTAAAATATAATTTAATAAAGCAAATTATGCATGATTCTTGAAACTTCTTTAATCCTTTCAGAATATGGCATTTCAGGCTGAACAAAAAATAAAAGCAGATATTTTACGAAGCTTGAGTACTGAACAGCTCTTCCGGTTATTATCAGATTCAGATTTGAATGTGCTGATGAAGACATTGGGACTTCTTAGAAATCTCCTCTCTACTCGGCCTGTAAGTAAAATCATCCAGGTTTCCAGATGAACTACCCCTGCATATGCAGTGCGAAACGTTGCCCACCCTCACTGTTCCCATCGATATCTGCCCAGAAGTGATTCAAATGCTGCCCCTTTCCAAAGAAGTTTGAAGTTAGTATCAATATCACTTGCATAGGTGTTCTGGGAGCTGCTTTACCATAAAGCCACCTGACCCTCCACTCCTCCACTGCCTGTCCTGTCTCCCTCTCCTTACTCCATGCTAGATGTGAGCTGGCCTTGATATGTCACTTTATTCTTACTTGGTTTGCTGGCCAGAGTGGGTTTTCTCATCTGCCTAAATCACTTACCTCTGGGGCCTCTGTTTCTTTCCCTTTAAAGAATCCTCAGTGCTGTTCCATAGATAGCTCCTCACCCTGCCAACATTGACTGGATTGACCTCTGAAGATGTCAGCATGGGGAACAGTGGGTATATGTCAAAGCAGGAGAGGCTGAGCCTCGTGGGGTCCCTCTCCTTGTTCTCTAATGTTCCATGAACAACAGTGTCAGTGACATTCAGGTAGATGAACCATGGTGGTTCCTTTGTGCCTCACTTGTTTTCTGAGCCTTATTCGTACATTTGTGCGCCAGGGTGTTAGTAAATCTGTGCCATATTTTCCATGTCTCTGGCTTCTCCCCGTTCCCCATACATTTTTAAAATTCCTTTTTCTTTAATATCTTTGGGCTTGAGGATCCCCAGTGATTGCAGTCCTGTATTCTATCAGGCCAAGTCTGTGTTCTCTTTATCTTCAAGTCATCCAGAAAAATGTAAAATATATATGTATGTGTGTGTACATAATGTATATCTCTATATATGTGTACACATATATAGAGGGAGAGGGAGAGAGAAGGCAAAATGCAGTTTTATACTATGATAAACACTATCCGTTGGTATCTAGTTCTATATGCAGTTCTCTTTCAAGCAGTTATGTATTATATTGTTTAACTTTGAGAAGCTTTCTGTTCTTTTCTATGGTGTTTTTCTCTGTTCCCCAGATAATAATTATGGGTTTTCCATTATTTTGCAGCATATAGATAAAATAATGAGTACACATGGGAAGCAAATTATGCAAGCCGTCACCCTTATTCTGGAAGGAGAGCATAACATTGAGGTCAAAGAGCAGGTATGTGTCCCCCCACCCCCTTTTATTTTCCCCTGAGGAAAATCTTCCACGTGTGAATATCAAGAAGGAGCCTCATTAGGAGTCTCCTGAATATTCAGATCTGCGAAAGATAGATTGCTGAGATCAGAGGTGCTGTAGAGACCAGAAAGATTTGAGAAGAAAGATCCTCCATCACCCCTGAAACTGTCTTCAAGAATTCTTCCTCCCAGAATAGAAGAAAACATTACCAGAGTCTGTAGTTTCACCCTCTGTGTCATGCACTGTGCACACTGTCCCTGTATATATAGGGATATCACCTTTGATCATCCCAGAGTGAATCCACTTTCCAGGACTCATCATTTCCAGCTTTCTGTATCCACCATGCACTGAACTGAAACTCCTGTGACACCCTGATAAAATAATCCCTTATGGTGGAGTCGTTTTTCATTTTTTTAACTCTAATACATCCCTGTTCTTTATTCCTATGCCATACTTCTACTTTCTGTTTTGTTTCAGTACGGCAGGTTTAGGGTAGGCATAAAAATACAGAGACCCTGCATTCATCAGGGGACAGTTTGGGAATTACTTTTCTGTATTTCCTGGGATTTATTATAGGATCTTTAACATAGTGTATGTTTTGTCATAAAAAGAAAGGTCACCTACAAACTTAAATTTCTAATACAAGATCTGAGGCAATGGTAATGTTCAACTCTCTGACATAGATGTTGGCTACATGGTGTGTTCACTTTCAAAATTCATTGAGCTGTACACTTTCATGCATGGAGGAAACCTGCCCCAGGTCATCAGTGGAGAGTTGAACCTAGAGTCTAAGTGCAGGGCCCATGCTCCGCATTCTCTTTGTTCCTGAGTGAGAGTAATTCCTCAGGCTTCAGAACAGTCCAGGAAGTAAGAGTGGTAGAATGTGGGGGCTGTGATTGAATTTGTGAGCAAAAAAGGCAAAAATATTTGACAAAGTGATTTAAGATGGACATGGTAGCTGATTTCTCTTAAAATTCAATAATAAACAACTTTGTTTATTGATAAAAATTTAACACAGAAAAACTAATCTCATAGGCATCACTGAAATTAGGTTGAATGTGATCTATTGAACACAACAATGAAGAAGATGCATTGTTCAAAATATTCTACCTGAAGAGCATAGGTGTCCATTTTGTCTATAAAAACGCCTCACCTAGATAGAATTCCTTTAACTTGAAAAGTGTAGCAAGACAAAAAGTTGAGGCAAGATTTGGATGAGGGCCAAAAAAAAAACAACAAAAAAACAATAACAGTCATGTGTTCTGTCAGGACTCAAATTATACTCTTCATATAGATCTTGGTGATGGTCTGGGAGTGGGTAGGTGATGATGGGAGGCTTAAACTGTCTGGTTGTTAGCTGGAAGTTTAATTCTTCTCCGACATTATCTGATAATGTCGTTTTCTTTCTTGAGGTATATTGACATCCAATAAGCTACATATATTTGAAGTGTATACTGTGATATGTTGACATAGGTATATACCATGAAGTGGTCACCACAATCAAGATAGTGAACATATCTATCACTGTCCTTCTATTGGGAGCAAGACAAGTATGTCCATTCTTCCCAGTCTTATTCAGCAGCCTCTGGAGTTGCTACCAAGTGCAATAAGGCAAGAAAAAGAAATAAAAGGCATGTAGATTGGAAAGGAAGAAATAAAACTATTCCCAGACAACATGAATGCCTTGATAGAAAATGCCATGGACTCATCAAAAAAAGTTAGAACTAATCAATGAATTTGCCAAGGCTACGAGATAGAGAAAGCTATTGTATTTTTTTTAATTTTATTTTTTTACTTTTTAAAATTTACATCCAAATTA